GACTGCAAATGAGCCAGGTTTTTGAGTGGGTGGCCTACGACCATGTCATCGGCATACTTAACATACAGGCAGTCGTTTGGCGATCTCAAATCATCAGTATGTAGGGAGAAAAGATGAGGGGATAAGATGGAACCTTGTAGAACTCCACAATTATTTGGAAGAATAGAAGATTTTCTCTTTTCCGACTGGACAAACTGAGTGCGGGAGGAAAAATAATCTCTAAGCCAAGAGATAACCCAGCTCGGAGTGTCGCACGCAGCTGCTTTGGTCAGGAGGAGACAGTAGTGCTCTGCAATGTGATGTACGCGAAAGGCTAGGACTGACTGGACTCGACATCCCAGAGGCCGGAACGGAATTCAGATGAGGGTTGGTGGTGAACGAAACGAAGGTGACCTTGTGCGTGCGCGTCAACATAACTCAGGTTAATTCTCCGATATCGCGTTTCGTGAAAGACTTGATTAATAGACTAAAAACGAAAAAAAGAGAGATCGTTTTCAAGAAAGCATGAAAAAAGAAAATACACTCAGAGAAGGAAATATGAGCGAACCCTCTACTTTGGCGACGACGAAATGGCTAATGAGACAATGTGGGCAAGTAGGAGTTATTCTGTAGCTAGAATTGGGGGGGTGGGGTGAGACGAAAAACAAAATTGCCCTCAGTTTCAAGAGAGACGGGGAATAGGGGACACTGGGCCGTGTAATTATAGGCGGGTGGCTGGACTGGTGACTTTGGCCCATGGTAACTGTGAGACCTGTATGAATTTCTTCTGCGCGCATAGGAATGGTTTGCGTAACCCGATTGCAGCCGCCTCTGCCGTTGCCAACAGAGGCTGTCCAACCGATTTTGGATAGCTTGACGGAACCTTGTAACTCATTTGGAAGGCCTGTACGGCATTTTCACTCTGAGCCGTGTCTATCATTTGCGCGAGGATAGAGCTGTTCAGGTCCTTTTTTGGCCTTTTCCTAACCATGCTGGGAGGTGTTCTCTTGTTCTTTTTTGGATCATATTATCAAAATTGGTTTTCTAAAATGTATGGGCAGGGATGTTTGACAGAGCCAAACGCATAAAGCGACCCATAAAAGTCAAAAATAATCTGTCAAATAGAAGCCCTTGTTAAAGAGAAGACGTGTTTGAGTTAAACTTTCCATTGCAAAACCAATGCTCCATTTAGTTGATGTGCAAACACATTAGAAGGCACTGAAGTAAAATAAGGTTTGTCTGATGATGGATGAGTTGTTGCTTCAGTAAGGATAAGAATATAGGTATCAAAGTGCATTTATTTAATAGAAGATGGAAATGTAAGAACAAACCAGGTCTTTTTGTAGCAGTTGATCGTTTACTGACCTCAGGAACGCGGTAGGGCATAACTACAACTACAGTTTCGGTACATTTTCAAAGAATTTACTACGGCCGACACTAATAATTACAACTGACTACTCAGATTATGAAGATTGTTGCTAAGGTGGGGAAAGCGCGAAGAGACAAAGTTCTCTGTCGGACAGAGCTGCGTGGGTAGTTGGCTTAGCCAAAGACGGAACTGATATTAACATTTTTGTCTAGAAGGCTCAAGAGGATTTCTTTGTGCGGACTGTTTGTCTTTTTTTCCGGCGTTTTCGCACCTCATGCGATAGGTTGTGTTTCGTCATTGCTGCTTACTAGCGGTCTCAGCGGTATCAAGACCCTCAGTTAAGACAACTCCAAACGCGAATGGCCGAACACGCTGCAGCGGTGCGGAGAAATGACGCCAGCTCTCAAGTTGCGGCTCATTTGGCGGGTTCCGGCCACACATTCAAATTTGACGAGGCCGAAATTCTCGCAAGAGGTGACAACCGCGTGAGCCGGGAGCTGCTTGAGTCATGGTTTACTGGCCCCCAGTCTATTAACAAGTGCAATGATCCTCCCATTCAATACACCGTGCCGAGACTTCGTCTAGGCGGAGTAATTGGCCACGCGGGGAGCGCACAGGTGAACACTCTTCCCAACACCCGGGTCAGCGCGTCAGATGGTCGAGCAATCATCACACCTACATCCAACGCACGTGATGAGATTGCAGCAATTAACGACGCGAATATCGGCCATCACGCCACGTGCAACGATCCCTGATGAAGGGGAGGGAGCCGTGAATATTCAAAGGTATGCGGTAGCATGGCTACTGCATCCTATAAATACTGCAGTCGCATGTGCATGAACCAACCTTATCTGCTTTTGTCTCTGATGATGGACTCGAGCAGGAATCCGAAACGTCAGGCTAATAAAGCTCTTGTCCCGGCGATCGTGTCTTCTTCTCTGAGACTGCTTCCTAGGACTCGTCTCTTCGCTTCTACCCTCAGTTACGCACAAATTTCATCGATTTTTTGATGCCCGTTGAGTGCGATCGATTTTCGACAAGCCCACAGGCGTCCAAAGCTCCGATAAGCACCAAGGCTGCGCTGACCGTCGATTCTCTGGGTTCTCCTGATAGGCGACTGACCGTCAGTTGTGCAGTTGCGGCACACGCGGCAGCAGGGCCTAATTGCGCGCGCAGATATTGCCGCCGCGTTTTTAGCCGAGATCCGGCTTCCCAGTGTAGTACAATCGGAGCAGAAGGCGCAAATACGAACGTCCCCCCCCCCTAATCTGGGGGCGTTCCACTACTTCCACGGGAGATTGTGGTTAATGTTAAGGTTGGGGGTAGGGCTAATGTTAAGGTAAGGGTTATGCTTACGTTTGGGGTTGGGATTGGGCTGCTATTCAGGTTTAGGGCCCGGAAACAGTTGCCCTTCCCGTTATTCTGTCAAAATCCACCTTTATTACCGAGGCGGTTCCTGTTCCTGTGTTGTGCCCAAATGACTAACCAGGCCATTTGTCGAACATCTATTTTGCAAAGTACCTCAGAGGTCATTCATGTATAGTATAGCATATTTAAGGGAAGTAGGAAAAACCCTTGATGACCTTATTGAAAACTGTGCGTACAATGTAAATGTTAAATGCACATCGTTCTAGTATTTTTCCAGTAACACATTAGTTTGCGGAAAACGTTTTCACAATGCTGGACTGCCTAGGGTGCGGCAGGCGGTCTTTTGCATGTACATATGGAATTTGAAGTGCAGTTACGTACAATCAACACAAAGGGCAGTCATTTGCGTAGTTTAGGATGGAAAATTTCACTAAAAGTGCAGGGGTGTGTTACATAGGGATGAAAACAGGAATTTATGGCTGGCCGCAGATAGTCCTGAAGTGAGAGTCGTCGTTTATCAAAGATCAAACAATCCAGCTGCCTTTTGAATACAGCCATCTTATCAGATGTCACTATTTCACTTGGGAGTGAGTTCCACAGTCGAACAACACGCTGGCTGAAGGAAAGCCTCCGATTGTCTAGGCGTGTACGCTCCCGCTTGACTTTGTATGGATGACCGCGCAGGTGACTCGTGGTCGTGAAGTAAAAGAAGTCTTCAGTTTTGAGCGAACATTCATGCCCGTGGAGAATGCGGAATGTCCATAACAAGTCACACCTCATTCGTTTATAGGATAGGGGGGACAAGTTTAGCTGGAGCAGTCTTTCTGGGTATGACAGAGTCCTGAGACCGTCCACCAGTTTTGTGGCCCGCCGTTGCACCTGCTCTGTGGCATCACTGTCTTTCTTCATCCAGGGCATCCATGATGGCATTCCGTATTCCAAGTGCAGTCTGACGAACGTGTGGAATATCTGCGAACATGTCAGGCTCGTCAAAATCTGTTTTCAACAGAACTTCCGTGAAGACTCAAACCAAGGTATTTTCAGCGGACACGGCAACAGACTGATCGTTGCGAAATATGAGATAGCAGACAACAAGGAGGACGCTGACTGAATCATATTATTTAGCCCAGTCGCGCGAATTATCCTGAGATGTGTGGAATCCAAGTGTAAGTACAAGATATTGGCATAGTATACAGAGCTGGGGAAGATGACTGTATTCAGAAGTGACATTTTCCGCAAACCTGGTATTTAGCAGTCCTGCTATATATTCTACCATGGGGACAACTTATCTAAATTATGGTGCTTATGGACTCTTCCGCAAATAAACGACGAGAGGCGACATCGTGGTCCTGCAAGGTCATGTAACTCCCATCAATCTTTCCTGAAAATAAATAAATTTCCCGGATGTGACAGCATTTCATAAATTACGTTCCACTCTAGAATAACTGAGGCCCTCTTTTCATTCAGTATCATGGCACATCACATATGGCCGAAGTCCTGTTCGATAGGTTATTGTGTCGTCAAATGCAACCGAATAAGCAAAAAGCGTTTTGAACTCATGTCTGAGTGTCCCTAAATTACTGGAAGACGAATGCGGCCACCAGGCCACTTCTCCCACTTCTATCCGGAAGCGGATCTCGCACCCATGTCTGGTGGGTAAAATTAAAAGTAAAAGACGGGCTCGATGTACAAATGGATTTGCCGGTATGCGGTGTCAGCTGTCTTGCTTTAAACTTTCTGCCGAACAGGCTGTACCCGCATCCGGACTACAGCCTATCACCCGGCTGCTAACGGGATGGTCGAGCGGTTTCACCGCCAGCTGAAGGCCTCCCTACGCGCCGCGGCCGATCCGGAGAACCGGACGGACCACCTTCCCCTGGTCCTCTTGGGCATCCGCTCTGCTCTCAAGCCGGACCTTGACTGTTCCGCAGCTGAACTGGTGTTCGGCTCCACCGCCCGACTCCCCGGTGAGATGATCTCGCCAACCCCTCGAGGTGCAGTTGAGGGTCCTACCAACCTCCTGCATCGCCTCCGGTAGTTTATGCGGACACTTTCTCCGATTCCTCCCAGGTCCTCCGCCTCTCCGTCTTATCTCGAGAAGGACTTGGCAACGTGCTCTCACGTCTATCTACGATGTGATCGAGTCCGCCGGACCCTGGAAGCACCCTACGACGGCCCCTTCTGAGGTATCGCTCGAGGGACGAAGAACTTCCGCATCCAACGCGGAACTCGTGAGGAGGTCGTGAGCGTGGACCGTCTCAAAGCTGCCGTCCCGGACACTCCTCCAGATGAGCCCTGTGGTCCCCTACCCCCTGCTCCTCCTCCCCGACCCTTTATTCCTCCGTCCCGAACACTTCCTCTCCCTACATGTCAACAGCATCCAACTGCAACATCATCCTCCACCATACCACGCAGTCAACCCTTTTCCACTGCACCTCCTGCTTGCATCACCCGCAGTAACCGTCACGTTCATTTTCCCTATCGTTTAGTTAAGCCTTTTTTCTAGACCTGTGCATATCCTCCGGCGCCGTATCCCGTCGCCCTCCGGTCTAGAAGGGGGGTACTGTGGTGAGGTACCTGACTAATTTACCTTTGACAATTTAGTCCAATTTTCTTTGACCGCATTGCTTGTTTGAATGTGACGAGAAACGACACACCTGTACAACCCGCGTGGCTAGCGTCCTCCTCGGTCGTGGTCTGTTGTCAGTTTTCTTAACGTTCAACAATCTCTATATTATTCACTGCTCCGATTTACTTGCTGTATTTGAGGCTAGGGGCTCGTGAGATATAACTCGTTAGTTCGTGAGAACATTACCACTTACGACAATAGGGCTGAAGTATACCACTGGGTCAACACAGCGCTCCAGTCCTGGTTCGTCTTCATCTAAACTCAGCGAAAGATCAGTCAGGGAGTGGAAATCTGTTACTTTGGTAGCCAAATGACGAGGAAATTGGAAGATGCGACGTGAGTCAGTCGTAAATACGCATCTTTTCTCTGGGTTGACGTGCCAATGAAATCGAATTAGTTCGGCCGACCGTGCAGTATGGAGGACGACACTTCCTGAAATATGAGGTCGAAAAAAAGGAGTGGAGTGATTTAATTACGATAGCTGCTTCTTCAATGTGAACAACTCGCAATTTAAGCATTTATCCCTCTTAACTTCGACTTTGGCATTGTTTACTCTAAGGCTATGGTTGGGTTGTTTCAAGCCAGCCAGAATGTCATTAGCGGTTCTAGTCGTTTCTCTTAATTGCTCATATATGGTCCAATATTCCCGCCTTTTCTATCCTTCTCGCTTCACCCGCATCTACACGCGATCTGGTAGACGAAGTACCGCCGATAGAATCACAACAACTGCATTTTGGCCATTTTACGCCTAACTATCCTTCCGACTTACTCGACATAACCGCTGTGACTGCACCGACACGCGGTAAATAGCAGTTAATTATACCGCGAATCGCAAAAATTACCCACTTGGAGGTGGCTGATCAAGAAACTATCGAAGTTGCTGCAAACAACTTTTGCTTACACAGGAGCTAGGAAACTTGCTGGAAATGTGGTTGTTTTTTAACAAACAGTTCAGCCCTCCGACTTAACATCAAAGTTGGACTCGACCTTCATAATACCAATTCGACCAGAAAGTGCCTTCTTATTCTGCTTGTCCTTTTTCCTTCCTGTAATATTCTAAAAGGACAAAAATGGCTGGTAAGAGTGAAAAGGCAAGTTTTTTTTAACTGAAACAAGGTCTGCTTGATATGACACCATTTGCGCTCTCAGATGCCTACGAATACGCGTCACTTAAAAACACCTCAATAATTTCACGTTGTTGCAAGGACAGAATATATGTGAACACTCTGACACCAGTATGAGAAGAACAGGCGATCTCGTGAGCCGAAAGTTTACTGCCCTGACGTCTCAAAACGAGACAAATTTGGGGGGTCACGTCGACTGACGAGACTGCAGAATTCAGGGCAGGGAAATAGGAGGGTGCTAAACTGGCTTGGGCGTTGGAGCGATAATTAGTGCTACCGTAAATGCAACTGATTATCGCATTCCGGAGATCAGCACCGCTGTTTTTCGTCCTGATCCAGGTCGCGGGTTGAGCAGGGAAGCACCTCACGCCAGATGGAGCTGTGGCTGTCAGCACGATGACGCCGCCTTCCTGCAGTCATGAAGGCACGACAATCGTTAAAAATCTATAAACGCTACTATGAACGTGATAAAGTTCTGTGGAATCCGCTGTTACACAATAAGTAATGCCGCTTATTGATGGTTTCGATATCAAGACTGCTAGCAGGAATTTAGTAGACGTACACCGCGCAACCCCACTTGCCCGATACCATACGGTTAGCATACTGAAACAATTTTAATTAACATGCAGTAGGTGGGCTAACTCATGAAATATCGACCGAAATTTCGAAATGCGTTTTCGTTATGAAAAGATTAACCAAGTGGAGTCGTAAAACTGATCGTCACGCATCGTAATTCTATAATAAGTCAGTTACCTCAGGATGCCGGCTTTGGGCGAACTTCCTTCCGGTTGCATACAAAAATATACCCTGCAAAAAATGACTACTTAAGTAGCATGCATTCTCCTCATTGATTTTCAGTCTCTCTAAATGTCCAGTTATAGTTCATGGAAAACATGTATAAAATATTCATTCGTCCTCTACTTCGGTAGAAAATTACGTTTTCTTACAATCTTGTACTCGAAGGAAGGGTATAATTTGTTTTTCAAAAACGGCTCCAATTTCCGAATAATTTTGAACCCGATCTGCCGTCACGCTTACATTCAGGGTTTGCAACCTACAAGCCATGTATTTTCCTCGTACAGAAAACCACACATTTCTCTACGGTATTAAGAGGAGATCATAATGGGTTCATAAAATTTTGCGGTGGATTTGATTCATATTGTTAACTTTACAAGCCACATAGGTAAATGCAGAGACATAACGCTTTATGAACGGCCATTTCACGGAATTAAAAAGTCTCATAATGAGAAACTTTTTACAAACCGTATTATGTCCTTCCGTCGAGTATAAAATTGAAAGATGTAATTTTCTACCGAATGAGCGGATGAATGAATATTTTAATGCATGTTTATCATGAAATATAATTGGACTTGTAGAAAAATTCATGCTACATAAGTAGTCATTTTTTACAGAGTATGGTTTTTGTATGCAGCCGAAGGGAAGTTTTTCCGAAAGCTGGCATGCTAAGGTAAATAAATTGTTATAGAATTAAACTGCAGGCTGATTAGTTTTACAATCCTACTTAATTAATATTTCCGAAAAGAAAACGCACTTCGGAATTTCAGTTGACATTTCACTAGTTAGCCCACCTACTGTACCTAGCTTGGTCACTCGCTGCACAAGGAAGGGGAAGAGGGCCCAAGCAGAGCTCAAAGCACGCGCAGGGTGGCGTGCACACAGCCCCTCCCAGACACAGCCACCCGCTGAGTTTAGAGGATACAGGGGGCTCAATCACAACAGGAAGGTCGCGTGGTAATTCGCAATGCATGGCCACCGTAAGGGAACCAACGGAGTTGCACACCGTCGGAACAATTCCATTAGTAAGTCTTCTTGGCCACTCGGTGGATTAGGATAATAGAGAACTGCAGATGATGAAGAGCATTTGCAGGCGAACCTAAACCGACTCCAACAGTGGTCAAAGGACTGGCTTCTGCCGTTCAATGAGAGAAAATGCAATATTCTACGAGTCGGCAGAGCTCGCTCTCCGAACCATATGGCCTACTGCCTAAATGGCATACCACTGCAAGAAGTGGACTCGCAGAAGGGCTTGGGAGTATGGATTACGACGTCGCTCAAACCCTCGCTCCACTGCACGAAGATAGCCAAGTCTGCGATGTCAGTCCTCTACCTTGTCAAGCGGGCTTTCTCCGCCTTTGATGAAGACTGCTTCGCTAAAGTCTTTCGAACGTTTTTGCGCCCGCAACTAGAATTTGCTATCCAAGCTTGAAGACCCTGGACCGTGAAGGACCTCAGCATCCTTGAAAGGGTTCAAAGGCGTGCAACGAAACTTGGGGCAGGACAGGGTTCACTACCATATGCAACGCGGTTAGCTAACCTTTATCTCTTTCCCTTGAGTTACAGGCAGTTACGCGGTGACCTGATACAAGCCTTCCGTATCATACGCGGTCAGGACTGCAGTCTCGTACCCGGGGACTTCTTCGAGTTAACAACCACCACAAATCTACGAGGCCATCCATTCAAACTACGTGTGACAGGGGGCCAGACTGGACACCCGAAAGTTCTTCTCTAACAGAGTGCTAGAAGCCTGGAATGCCCTGCCTGTGGATGTCGTTATGTCTAATTCCGTCGAGGTCATTAAGAGGAAACTGGATTTGTGCAGCAGTGTCCACTAAATTACCACCCGATCTCTGTAACCAGGACAAATTCCGTGTTATAATACTACTTGCTATATTTCAGTAACATTTTAAATTGGATTTCTTATTGTCCCCAACCCATCGCATACGCTTACTGACATGCACCTCTGCAACTTTTGTCACCGGATATATCATTTATTTCGCTGCACTCGAAACGACCGCTCTACAACTGCTCGTACCACTAACATTCGAGACAGTTTGTTTGTCCTTACAGATCTGACGCTTTTCCGATTAATTGTTCCCTTTATGATACCTTTTCGAGTTTTTGAGATTTTGCAGTTGCATGTACACAAACAGGGAGTTCAAAGGTGAAGACCTACATTTCCCTCAATAAACTGAACTGGACTGAACTGAAGAAGACACAAGCAGGGCTCGGACTACGCGGAGGGACCCGGGGACACCCTCGCCGAAACCCCTATTACCACCGGTCCCGTATTAGAGTGACTGGGGTTTGTTTACTTCAGGTGGGGCTACATAACCACATCGACTGGAAGTTAAACTAGCTTGAAATAGCGATGAACCATTAACTAATTTTTTTAACCTATACCACCACCAGAAAAAAACTGTGTAAAGAAATCTCAATATACTCAGACTTTGGCATTTCGATGATCGTGAACAAAACCTTCGCACGGTAGCTAACACCTCCGGATTGAGAAGTATGATAATGAGTCTATATAAGCATTTCTGCAGGCCGATTTGGACTGGCTGCTATTTACCCTGGAACCTGAACTTCCTTTATTCACTTGCCTGAATTACCTCGACTAGTGTTTTTGGTTAG